ATTTATTATAGACTATTTCATTTTGCTCTCTACGATGATTTAAAAAATGGTATCAAGATGTCCGCCATATTGTCCTAACAACTCGAAAACTTTTTACGTAAAATACCATACACAGAGTATATTTCGACTACTTCAAATTCTTCAACAAAATCATCCAGCCGTTCAGTTATTCCCTTTGTGCTTTTATTTATTGGTGGCCGGTATCTTTCTGTACCTTTACTGCCAAAAATCGCGTTCAAATGAAATATTATCGTGAAAGCGACTACGGTTGCTTTTATCGTGAAAGCCACTTCACCGTTGTTCGGTTGTGCGTGCATTCTGCTTTAGACGCAAAACGCAGTGGAATAAAATTTCTCGCGCGATTTAATCTACATAATTAGCTTTAGGAGCGAGGTATTAGCAAATACAAAATTCAATAGATTCTTCATGAAAATATTTTCATTCAGAGCCAGCGAAGTGACCGTCATAATATTCTTCTGTTATTAGTTAGTATTGCATTTTTATTCTTATTAAAAATAAACTTATTCACTTATAATATGCAATGAAATATGTAATACATAATTGTGTATATAAAGTATCAACTAATATGTATAATATACATATAATATTAAGAGGTTAAAATAAAAATAGGTTATGTTGTATACAAGCGTAACTGCGACAACGAGCCGCTAGATGGCAGTACCGAAAGAGAAGAAAATGGAAGCTAATTGTGACAAAGAAAAGTCAACGTGGTAGAATCGTCGAAATATACAAAGCGAAATATTTAAAATAAAATATGTATTTAAAATAAAGTTTATAAATCTTGCTTACTATATATAATACTCAATAAAATAACGAGTAAGGAATTTCTTAGACGAATACCTGTTTTATTTGTAATAAACGTAGTGCTAATACAAAATAATATTATATCATACTACATATAACATATACAGGGTGTACGAATTAAGTTTTATCGTCATATTTTAGGCATTTCCGGTAGTGCAATTAAAAAATGTTTCAGACAAAATTTGTTTAGTATTTGATGAGCTACGTGTTTCCATATTCCCAAATTTAAATAAATGCATTTTACGTAAAAAAGGCAAGGTCACCTGTTTTTGTCATGTTTTTGATGTCATGGGATTGTTGCTGATGTCGACATGAATTCAATAGTATACTGTGACCTTAAAATGACCTTAAACTCGAAAATTATGTACCTCCTGTTGTAAAATTAAGTGGCCTTGACTTTTTTACGTAAAAAAATATTTTTTGAAATTTGAGAATATGGGAATATATGGTCCATAAATACTAAAAATATTTTGAAACATTTTTTAATTGCACTACTCGAAATGCCTAGAAAGTGGTGACAAAACTTAACGCGTACACCCTGTATAATCTGTTACATATAATGAATCTTTATTTCATTATTATTAATGATAATTAAAGTGGTATAATAAAAATAAATAGATATATAGAAATAATGATTGCATTTTTATTCCTGATAATTGCAAAAATAAAGAACTAGGAATTTATTTTGATTAATTTATTATTTTTTATCACTGATTAACTTAACAATTCTGATATTAATTACTTAAATTCATTTTCAACTTTCTATTTTTAATTAATACCAGTTTTTCCTTTCTTAATCAGACTGATGGACCTGATAGTAAAAGAATCGTTATCCATACCAAAGTTTTTAAAGAGTGTTATAATAATAAATAATAAATGCCGTTTGATAACATTTGGAACGAGTAAAAATAAATATAGATGAATTTTAATAGTGGGACACGGAAAATTTTATAGCACGATTCAACGCATCCCGAAAAATGAAAAATGAAATAGCTATTTATTCGAGAAATGATGGTTAAGATAAATAAGAAACATATATATCTAACAAAAAATGCACGATCATAAGCACAATATAAACTGTGATGATATGTTAAATTGTTTTTATATAGAATTATTAATTACTTGGACGATACATCTAGATTTTTATGACCAGTCACGATTCGTTTGCTTGTTATGTGCTTATCGCGACATCCACGATATGTTGAATTATTTCTCATTATCGTTTGCTTTTATAAACACCAGTGTATTATAACCTATCGATAGGAATTTCAAATAAATTTCTTTCTGCTATAATTAACTAAAACATAAACACAGTTATCAACATTTTGGAGAAGTATCTAATCCAAATTTTGGTTCAGGAATATTAAGAGTTAACACATTTCTGGGCCTAATTTATTTTATATTTTATAGTATCGCAGTATTGAAAATAATTTCGACATTTCTCATTTTTATTACTTTATTTTATATTTTCTCTTACCTAAATTTTACGGATTATACTAATTGCGAATTATAAATATTTCGAATTAGAAAGAAAAAGAAGAGAATGAAAATTTTCGAATTCTCGAAACTGTTTAGATTTCAAGAGGTTTCGAAGTTTCGATATTTCAAGAGTAGGCGTTATTATCGAGAGAGTATTCATTATTATCAGTCTATATACGACTGAAGAGAGTGCTTGCTATAGTATGTAACGCAGACGTCCAGTGGCGGCTAGTAACTCGTAGTCTCGGCAGTTTGTAGGAGTGCTGTTCGATAGAGGCATAAAAGAGTCCATAGGATGCATTTATCGACATTATAGGAGGGAAGTTTGATGGACACACAAAGCAGTTTACCATTTGTTGCCACCATAGGTGTTGGTTACTAGCAGCAAGACTGTCTTTTTAAAGTCTTTACCTATACAACGACCAATCACTAATTTACATCTGAATATACTACACATAGATAATTAACAATTAAAATAGCATAATGAAAATAAATAGATACAGATTATAATTATCTTTTTATCTAAATAAAAGTTAACATTATTTGAACCAAATATTTTTTTGCAATTATAAAAACAGACTATGGAGACTACGAAAATTATGAAAATATTTAATATACAATGAAAATAAATAGGTACATATCATAATTATCTTTTTATTTAAATAAAGGTTAACATTATTTGAACCAAATATTTTTTGCAGTTATAAAAGCAGACTGTGAAGACTGAAAACTATGAAAATATTTAATATATAATGAAAATAAATAGGTATAGATTATAATTATCTTTTTATTTAAATAAAAGTTAACATTATTTGAACCAAATATTTGTTGCAATTATAAAAACAGACTATGAAAACTAGGAAAATGTATTTTCAATAACTGTAAAGACAATAACTATGAAAACATATTTTTAGTAACTATAAAAATAGAAAATTTCAAATCAATAATATTGTCTGATTTGGTAGTTTTATTGTTAAATGATACAATATAGTGGTTTATAAATTACCAAAGGTAAATGTTGATAATTCATAACTGAAAAATGTAAAACATACATTAGAGATCATGATTTTGCGTATACACATGTACACGTGTGTGTCACATAGACCTACTTCAGTATGTGATATATTAAAAACATGAGTACCTATCAATTATTTCATGTATATCTAGTACTTTAATTCGTGTGAATTTTAGAATATCAGTCAGAATATTAATTTACGGATCAATACTATGGTTCTATAGATATCGAAGTTTAAGTACAAAAATAAATTTAAACCATGTTTATTAACAAAATTTGTTTAATGTAATTTCTAATGTAACTAACCACACGTGAACTTACAAATGAAATTCAGTTTCATTAGCTGAACAGATAGGTCGCGAAACAAAAATTGCAAACTAATCATTTCTGTTGGTTTGGTGATTCTAGTAAAATGTGAAACGTGTAAATAGTTGTCGATAATTAACATTCATGTATATGTCATGTCTCAAACTTTGGCTAATTTTTTTTCTGACAGTTAAATTGCTCGGTCTACTTTAGTGCAAAACCTAACCTCCTTATAGTCCCCTCTTCGTCCATTACGTAATTTCACCTAATGATCACAAGCAAATGTAACACTTTTATGTCACACATGTTTTACGATAAAGTCTTATCAACGCGTATAATTTATGATTATTTAATTTGGAAATTGTACAAAATTATTGAATTATTTAAAATAAAGTGCTTAGAGTCAATGAATAGAAGACCATAAACAATCGTCTAAAGACAACAATAGACGATTAAACAAAAGATTGTCGAATTTGGTATGCTGTGTTGTAGACTATTGATTATTGCAAATTAATATTTTCAGTATATTAATAAACTTAAAATTGGTTTTAGTGAGAGAAATACGATGAAATTGAATACCTCTTTTCCAAACTTCTACAGTCAAGTCTCCTATAACATGATTAATTCGAACCGCATTATATGGAAACCGTGTTATAAGAAAAGAAGAATTAATTGAAATCAGGAAACGCGTTCCATGGAAACCGCGTTATGAGAAACGTAGTAATTAGATAAATCAGATTAATTTATACCGCGTTGTATGGAAACCACTGCCCCGTTACATAGAAACCAAGCTGTAAGAAACTCAGAAATAACACAAATCGAACGAATTCGTACCGCGTTATATGGAATCTCAGAAATCAATAAATTGTATATAAATCAAACCAACATGAAAACTGCATTCTCAAAGTATCGAGTTGCGATCGATACAGTCAATAAATAAAATTTTATAACAAAAATGGCAATGAATACGTAGATTTTTACATATTTGAATCCAGGTTTATTCGATATAATACATAGTTCACATAATAAAATTATAAACTAAAGAAATTGTTTCCAATAAAGAAACTTAATTCGATACGTATCAGCGACGCATCCTAATTTAAAATAGGATTCTCTCACGTTAAAACTAAACGGTTTATAACTTTGTTTTATACAATTATCTTTTGGGCACCTATCAAAGCCCTTATTAAAATCTTTTCTATCGTAAGTTCTCTTATCCACCGACGTTATTCCATATTTCTTCTTATTTATATTTATTTCCGAAACAAACGTTTCGTTCTCAAACACTCTTACGAAATCGCTTCAGTCTGATCAGAATTCAGACATTCTTCTCGCGTGGTTCGTACATCGAGGATACCACGATTAGGTCGTTTTATTATTCATCATCACGGTCAAATATTTGCAGTCTAACCCTCTTTTTTCTAATTGGCAGAAAATCTTTCTCACTTTGCAAATTTTCTTCTCGGTTTTCAAAGGTAGCTTTATTTTGCAGTTCTTCCAAAACCTCTTTATACGGAGCCAAGCAATTCTGAAATTCTCTTTTAAATTTTGCGCCGCGCGTCGTTGAAGGATCATTTCGAGTTAAGCAACCTTCCAATTCTTTAGCCAAATCCAGCCCTCTTTTTACATCGCAGCCGAAGTTCGAAACGAATTCGTTATCCGCGTTTTCTTCCACAAACGAATTCGAGGTAGACTCGTCGATTGATTCCACCAATTCCTCCTCGTTTAGACTCTCTTCCCGAAGCAGTTCTTCTATATCTTCGCGGTTTATATCCGAAAATCCTTCACTGCCCAAAGCAGAAGCAACGTTTACTATTTCTGCAAGTAGAGCCGAAATATCGTTTCCCTTTCGAACCATTCGAGGTAAAAGAGGCCTCCAACACGCGTTAAGCGTCGACGATTTAATTTCCGCGCAAGCTAACGAGACAGTTCGAACGCAGTCTAAAATAGAAAATTCTTTCCAAACTCGAAGAAGGGTTTTACCTTCGTGGTTTTCTAATCGGTTGAAAATGTCTCGAAAAAATTGGCGTACGTAGTACGTTTTGAAAGTCCGGATGACTCCTTGGTCCTGCGACTGTGTCAATGAAGCGTAATTTGGACGATAAACAATTTTCACATTTGGGTGATTCAGTTCCTCGCTGTATCTACTAGCGTTATCGAGAATCAACAAGATTTTGAAACTAAAATTTTTTTCAGTCATATAGCTTGCCACTCGAGGGATAAAGCAATTATAAAACCAATCCTTAAGTAAGTCTTCAGTCATCCTCGCTGTTTTATTAGTTCGCCAAAATACAGGCAACTCGGACATCTTAATATTTTTAAAAGTTCGAGGTGTTGAGAAATTTATTACCATAGGTTTCATTAACAAACTTCCTGATAGATTGCAACACATGTACAGAGCGATGCGTTGGTTAGATGCTTTAAACCCTGAAGTCTGCCTTTCATTTTTTGAAATGTGGCTCCGAGATGGGAGTTTTTTCCAATACAATGTTGTCTCGTCGGCATTAAAAATCTGATCTGGTGCATATCCCCCTTCATCGATAATTCGAGGGAGCTCCATTCGAAATTTTTTGACAGCCTCAGCATCAGCTTCAGCCCGTTCTCCTTGAAATTTGATGTCGTGCAAGGAGTACCTTTTCTTTAGCTTTTGCAGCCACCCTGTGCTTGCAGTAAACCTATGGCTGTGTCGCTCTGAAGAACGATGGTCAACTCCTTTAAAATGCTCATAGATTTTAAGTGCTTTCTGTTTGATAAGATTCCCGCACACAGGTACCTTTTTGGATATACAGTCCTCCAACCAGATCATCAGAGCCCGTTCCATTTTAACCATATTAACGTGTCGTGTACGAGTAACGCGCTTCGCACCAGATGGGCAACCATTTGCGATAGTTTTCCTTATTTTTTCCTCGTTCTTCTTCAAAGTCCGAACCGTAGATTCGTTCAAATTCAACGATTTTGCAACAGACGATATTTTTTCTCCATTCTTCAAACGATTCAAAATTTCGATTTTGTCCACGAGAGATATAAACTTTCTCTTTAACTGTTTCCTGTTTTTACTTATTTCGGCCATTTTGTAAACCTATGAGTAATTATTTGTTTCGGGTAAATAATACAGTGTATAAAACATTATATCTAGATGTTCTACAATTCCAATCACGTAAATTAAGCAAGTCGACAGAATTTTATTACACATATGTCTGAACACGTTTAAAGACAATCTTGGAATAAATTAAAAGAGAGCAATGTTTTACTGTTTGCTCACTGCCTGAGAACTGGAATTGGTAACCCGAGAATACTCCATAAATGTCAACTACGTACAAAAATTGAACACATCGAATAAGTGCTGTCATAGATAAATTTTTCAAGCCATTTGAGTTGTTGGAGTGTTGTTTTACGGAAAACGCGTTATAAGGAGACCGCGTTATAGGAGAGAGTGGCAATTTTCGCTTGGCGTTATATGGAATTCACGTTATGAAAACACCGCGTTATAGGAGACTCGACTGTACACGCCTTTGGCGATTGTCGACTGTCGTCGACATTCAGCGCCAGGGATACCTTCGGCAACTATCGATATATTATGGCAACCGTCGGCAACCGTCGGCAACCGTCGGCAGCTATCGGCTGAACTCGACACCCGACCGAAGATGCTCGTAACACATTCGGCGGCAATCGTTAGGACTGCGTTGAAGTTTCATAGAAGACCGGTATTTTTAGTTATACAGTCCTTTCCTATTACACGGATTTTTATAATGAGATTTTCATATAAAGCGGAGCGAAAATTGTGACATCTCTGCTATTATATCGCGGTCTCCTTATAACGCGTTTTTCGTATAAGAACGTCTTCGTACTTCGGCAAGAGAGTTTAACCCTTTGCGATCGATGTCCCCGCAGTGGGGACATTCTCAAGTCGAAAAATACATAAAACTACAGAAAATTAGAGAAACTAAAAATGTTGTATTTTTACGTATTATTGGTAGTATTAAATATAAATTAGTTTCAACAAATTCTGTGCGTTGTAATATCTATATATTGACTTTAAAACCTGTACAGGAAAGTAACTACAAAACGCTAAATATGCTCTGCTGAAATTTGCCAATTGCAAAGGGTTAACACTAAACGTACCAAGCGGTACGGTCAAATGACCCATTTCAAAATTTACTTTATAATTGTATATTTATTGTTATTTTATCTGTAAATTTGTATATTATCAGATTGTTTAATTTCTCGCCTTTCGTCTTTTTCTTAACTTACTTTTTACTGAGAAATATTCTTTACATACCTTATGTATCATAAGGGATCATTTCACCCCTTATGCTAAGAATACATATGTGTAAAGTAAGTTTTGTGTTAAATGAGCAGGAATTGCAAGAATTAATAATAATTTTAGATTCAACGTTTTATTGATTCTTGATAACGCTAGAAGCCATAGCAAGGAAGTGAATCACCCAAATCTGAAAATTGTTTATCTTTTTCTTAACGACGCCTCACTGATAAAGCTGCAGGATCGAGTCACCCAAATTTTCAAAACGTACTACGTACGCCAATTTTTTCGAGACATTTTCAACCGAATAGAAAACCACGAAGGTAAAACCCTTCTTCGAGTTTGGAAAGAATTTTCTATTTTAGACTGCGTTCGAACTGTCTCGTTAACTTGCGCGGAAATTAAATCGTCGACGTTTAACGCGTGTTGGAGGCCTCTTTTACCTCGAATGGTTCGAAAGGGAAACGATATTTCGGCTGTACTTGCAGAAATAGTAAACGTTGCTTCTGCGTTGGGCAATGAAGGATTTTCGGATATAAACCGCGAAGATATAGAAGAACTGCTTCGGGAAGAGAGTCTAAACGAGGAGGAATTGGTGGAATCAATCGACGAGTCTACCTCGAATTCGTTTGTGGAAGAAAACGCGGATAACGAATTCGTTTCGAACTTCGGCTGCGATGTAAAAAGAGGGCTGGATTTGGCTAAAGAATTGGAAGGTTGCTTAACTCGAAATGATCCTTCAACGACGCGCGGCGCAAAATTTAAAAGAGAATTTCAGAATTGCTTGGCTCCGTATAAAGAGGTTTTGGAAGAACTGCAAAATAAAGCTACCTTTGAAAACCGAGAAGAAAATTTGCAAAGTGAGAAAGATTTTCTGCCAATTAGAAAAAAGAGGGTTAGACTGCAAATATTTGACCGTGATGATGAATAATAAAACGACCTAATCGTGGTATCCTCGATGTACGAACCACGCGAGAAGAATGTCTGAATTCTGATCAGACTGAAGCGATTTCGTAAGAGTGTTTGAGAACGAAACGTTTGTTTCGGAAATAAATATAAATAAGAAGAAATATGGAATAACGTCGGTGGATAAGAGAACTTACGATAGAAAAGATTTTAATAAGGGCTTTGATAGGTGCCCAAAAGATAATTGTATAAAACAAAGTTATAAACCGTTTAGTTTTAACGTGAGAGAATCCTATTTTAAATTAGGATGCGTCGCTGATACGTATCGAATTAAGTTTCTTTATTGGAAACAATTTCTTTAGTTTATAATTTTATTATGTGAACTATGTATTATATCGAATAAACCTGGATTCAAATATGTAAAAATCTACGTATTCATTGCCATTTTTGTTATAAAATTTTATTTATTGACTGTATCGATCGCAACTCGATACTTTGAGAATGCAGTTTTCATGTAGGTTTGATTTATATACAATTTATTGATTTCTGAGATTCCATATAACGCGGTACGAATTCGTTCGATTTGTGTTATTTCTGAGTTTCTTACAGCTTGGTTTCTATGTAACGGGGCAGTGGTTTCCATACAACGCGGTATAAATTAATCTGATTTATCTAATTACTACGTTTCTCATAACGCTGTTTCCATGGAACGCGTTTCCTGATTTCAATTAATTCTTCTTTTCTTATAACACGGTTTCCATATAATGCGGTTCGAATTAATCATGTTATAGGAGACTTTACGCGATTACTGTAGAGCACATGTAATACAACGACTACTTTTACAAATTAGTATTTTAGTATTTGCTAAAGCAACTTATATCTTATTTGTATCTTGCAGGAATTACAGATATATTGAAGATAATCCAGAAATTATGTACGTGTCACAAAACGGGAATTTTTATTTATCACCGACGCACTTATTTATTTACTTATTAAAGAAATCTTTTTAATACATAGAATTTACATAGAATTTTCGTTGTTCGTCTTAGTTAGATAAAAAAGACATCGCTTAAATATAGAAAAAGAATTTAAAAAATTTAGAGACTCGATATGATTATTGACATATTTCTAAATTTTTATGTACCATATAAAAATGAGAATTTTCGTTATTCGTGTCCAATACATAGTGTGGTCGGTAATTGGTAGAACATATGACAAAAGAAAATAAATCCAAAATATGGAATAACATTTCTTTTTTTTTTTTAAATATTCAATAGATAATAATAAATTTTAAATATTCAATAGACGTGTATGCACGTTTCTATACTTTTAGGCATCAGACCTCGCTGGAAATTATTGTCCCTGCGCAAATTTGTATTCGTTATGACGAATAATTAAAAATTCGCAATAAAATAATATAATTATATAAGATACGTTTGATTATTAAATAAATTGATTTGAATTTTGATTATTCTGCAGAATGCGCAATTCTACTTTTCACGCTAACTACTATGGTCACTGTCTACTGAATTCCATAGTTTTAATTTATGAAACGTTAACCCTCTATGGACCCGTGTAACTTTCAAGTTACATGCTGATGTATGAGTATTTCATTAAATACTGCATTTAACGTTATCGTCTTGATCACTCCAGTTCGCGATTTTTCTTTCGATATATTTATAATTATTTTTACAATACCTCTCTGGGTCAAATATTTGCTGATTTTATGTTACATACAATTTTTACAGTCAAGAAAAATATATATTCGGCCTATAGAGGGTTAATTTAAGTCGACGTACAGACCCCTTCTCGAGACCCGGACCCTCCAATAGACAGTTAATTTTAGGTTGAGCACCCAACGAACATTTAAACTGAATTTTCTTATATTATACAACAAATTATTGTACAAAAAAGTGTTACATTTTCGACTTAATTTTTAACGTAGATTCATTCTCCGCTGTGTTGGATCATCGATTACCGACCATTCTGCATATTGAAAATTTTAAGGTGCCCATTAGATGTTCCTATCTTGTTGAGAGCGACTGAGCTTAGTTTCTCGGACTTCGATTTTGTTATTTTTTTATATTCGAACAATATATATTTTTATTGATCAACTTCTAAAGAATTAATTAGAGTTCACGAGTGCGTCGATCGTCGCGATCAGTGGTTCAAGCAAGTCCACCACTGACTGTGGTCACGACGAATGGTTAAGTCTGCGGTCTGTCTGAAGATGGCGAGCCACCAGATGATACATTGTCTTAAGGTTATCCGCAGACTTGGTTACTCGGTGGGCAGGAGAAGTAACCACGAGAGCCGATGACCACCAGTCGTCTGAGCCAATGATAGCCATTGATCACGGTATTGCGATAATAATATTCCGACTGATTCTCAAAAAAATAATTAATGATTGTGAGGCTTCTTACTCTATGGCTAAACGGAGTTTTATGTCTTACGAGTATATATGTATGTATAGTATGAATTATTTAGTTTGAATATCTCAATTGCTTGCACTGAAATTTATTTACAAATTACGATAATTTTCAGATGCATGATTCAATTTTCAAATGGTATTACGAGGTCATAGAAGATCTCAACAGTTTGGTTAACTTTGGGATATATAACTTGCTTCTTAAGTAATAATTTAATTTTATTAAATCTATATCTTCTTTTTCTTTTTTTTTGACAATGTATGTAAAGGATAATTAGAATCAAGTAATCCTAACTAATTTAAATTTAATCCACGTTATGGTAATTATTAATGATTTAATGATACCAACTAAGAGTAGATTTTTCTTCGTTTTAAAAACAACATAGAAATTTATACTCGAAATATACTTATCTTTTCTCTCTTCTTATCTTTTTTATATTTTTGTTGGTTACAATGTTGATTTTTGAATCACCTT